AGGGACCCTTGATAGGGACCCTTGTAGGTTATTGGGGTTAATATGGAGACTACCCGGCTATATAAGGGGTATATAAGGACTATACAAAGGGTATTTAAGGTAATGGGATTAAGGGTCCCTATTAGGGGTCCCTCCGAAAGTCCTTAGATAGGGTGCACTACCGCGACAAGGACAGCTCGTTATTGCGTACCTACAGACCTACATATCCCCTACACCGATACCTGGTCAAGAAGAGGCTTTCCTTGGCGTGGTGTCCTATACTTGACTTAAATTAGCTTTGAAGTGACCTAAATCTTAAGTCCCATAGTGCATGGATGCTCTTTGTGCTGGCCCGAGTATTCCACGCGAACCTTCCACCGGCTCAGGCATTGCTCAGACCCCTAAACCCAGCGACTCCAGAAAGCCTTTAACTAAGGAAGTAAAGGGTTTAGGGTTTCGGGTTTAGGGCATAGGGTTTAGGGTTTAGGGTTAATGGGTATTCCTTCATCAAGGGGTCATGGAGTGTCTGGGTAGTGCACAGCCCATCTTCGATCCTTCTACAGCCCCTGCCTTGTAATCTGCAGCTGCCGGCCCACATTGCACGCAGGCCACGTGCAGGGAGGCCAAGTGGGCCACGGGCCGGAGGTCAGCATGGTAATAAAGGGCCCTGGTAAACTAATACAGTAGGGGTCTGAGGGGTATGGTCCGGTGTCATACAAGTACACATGGAATTCAAGGGTATAGAAGAATAAACGACTCGCCCAGTAGATCTGTCTTTTATGAGTCTTGTGGGCTAGCGCCCAGGGTTTGGAGCGTTCGGGCTTCACCCTTCGGGCTTTAGGGCTTAAGGTTTCTGTGCCTGGCTTTAAAGTTCAAGCGGATGGCGTTATTGTCTTCGTCGGGGTTTGGAAACGTGAAGGTTTGACGCCGACACCGGACACCCAAACACTATCCAGCCTGAAACTACTGAGCATATAGCACGCACGAAGTCCTAAACCCAATCTCGATGTTCGAGGGCATCATCTCTGACAACAAAGCTCTATGACAACCTCTACAAGCCCTATCAGAGCCTTCCCGCTCGACAGCGAACTGCTCACTCTGTCCACGCACTCTGCTTTCGGCTTTGGGGGGCTGAGGAGTTTGGAGCTTCAACACGGTAGGAGGGACATGAAACCGCGTGAAACCATTGGTCATTCAAGGTTTTGGGGCATGGGGAAGCTTACACGTGTCACCGGAAGAAACTAGAAAAAGAAACAATAAACACGTGCAGCTCGGCTGCCTCCACATGACAACCCGAACCTGTTTGGTATCCTTATAGAACCCCTATAGTACCCCTACGGAACCCCTTGAAAAAACCCCTTCAAGAACAAGCATAGACCCCAAACCTGTCAAGTGTCCGAGCCCCACACAGTGTAGTCCCCTATCCTCGGAAAAAATTCTCAGGGTGGGTCAGGCCTCGTAGGCTTTGGGACTTCAGGTGGGTCCTGAGGCTTGAGTTCTTTAGGTTTCTAGTTCATGGTTGGGGTAGTATTAAAAATTTGAATTTATATTCCTTATTGGGTTTAAGTACCCTTAAAAATGTAAAATGTTACCCAACTATGACAAAGGTTTGTTGAAGAACCAAAAGAAGCCTGGGGCTGGCGTGGCTTAGGTTGGAAGTGTAGGGGTTGGGGTCTGGGTGATGTAAGGCTTAGAGCATAGGGTTTGGAGCTCAGACTGGGTGGCTATGGTTTAAAGTTCGGGGTGGAGGTCTTTTTAACAAAAAGAATCTTAGACCCCAAACCCCTTAACCAGCTAAAATGCAAGACTTGCACCCCACTACATCCAAAAACCAGGATCCCATCGTCGTGGCTTCGAAGACTACCGTCCCAGAGAGTGCCTACCTGGACGCTCCGGATGTACATACTTCCTCTTCTGGCGAGCCAGCTTTTCACATGAGGAGCCCATCCCTAAACCCTAAACCATAAAACCCTACTAAGGCACTAAGGAAACAAGGCCATCAAGAAAAGAACTACATGAGAGAGGAGAACTCCGATACCAGCAAAATCAGACCAGGGCCTTGGGTGCCCGATAGAACCCTACTGCATGGTATCATTAGCCGCTCCCAAAAGGTACACTATGTGGTGCTCCTGGCGGCTACGGAAGTTTAGGGCTGTTGGAGCCTTCCGGTTTGGAGATAGCGGTTTCGTGCCAAGGGCCTACTATGTTCCTGGCCTCTCCGGCTGTTCTTCTGGCCTAAACCCTAAACCCTAAACCCTAAACCCTAAAGCTTAAGCCCCAAGCCCTAAACCCTAAACACTAAACCCTAACCCTAAAGCCAAGCAGCTCGCCAAAAGTTGCGGATGGCCTCAGCCTGGAGTGGAAGCGGGAAGACGGTGCCAATGTGTTTTTGCAGTCTATTGGGACCTACTGATACTGGTTTAGGGAATACCCTAAACCCTAAACTCTGAACCCTAAACCCCTATAGTACGCTGAACCCTAAACCCTAAACCCCTATAGCACCCTAAACCCTAAGGGAGTGGTGTGGAGTTTAGGGATGTTTAGGGCTTGGGGTCTATGATAAGCCTCCAAAAGGCTCAGCACTTTGGGCTTCGGGCGGTTTCTAAGAGTCCCATCGTGCGCGGGTGCCACGTGAGTTTGCAGTAAGCCCTAAACCCTAAAACACATAAAGTAATTGGGTTTAGGGTTTAGGGTTTGGGGTTTAGGGTTTAGGGTTTTTCACCCTAACCCTCAACCCTTATCAACACCATTGCCCCCCATACGCACAGTCATGATTGCAGCCCCCGGTGTTGGTCACGATCGGGGGTGTCATTTCTCTTGCAGCGTAATGTAGGGGCCTCAATAGTTAGAACAGCGCTTTTGGGGCATTTTATCTTATAATAAGGGGCCCCCTAAAATAGTATAGCCCTAAACCCTAAACCCTAAACCCTAAACCCTAAACCCTAAACCCTAAGGCCCCTCTATTAGAGTGCACAGCTTAGGAGCTTTGGTTCTTGCGTCCTTCTGCGAAACACGAAACCCCCGCACCCCCGGGCTTCGAGCCGACACTCCCAGCCCAGAACTGCCACAAAACCCTCAAAAGTTCAGGGCTTTGGGTTTAGAGTTTAAGGGTTTAGGGTTTAGGGTTTAGGGTTCTCAAGCTCCACCCTTCAATCGGATCCAAACATCAGAAGAAGCGCGTCAACTCCTGGAACTCTGGAGCCTCAATGCCCTGAAACCCATCCCTAAACCCTAAACCCTAAAGCCGGTCAAAGGGTCCAAGAAGAAACCTGAAGGTGTGATTGTCGAGTTCCGACTTGACAAAAGGATCACCATCAAAGGGTCCGACCGACATGCGTGCATCTCGCCAGACATTTTCCTACTTCCCAAACTTCCCAGACCATCGATGCAAGACTAGGGCAATCCCCAAACCAAGTCCTCTCGAAATTGAACTCTCATGAGCTCTGCATTGGCTCTACGTGCGCACTACACGTATAGGAAATGTAAAGTGTCTCAAGGGTTCGGATTTAGGTTTGGGACCGTAGGTCTGTGCATCTAGAATCTAGAAGCACATGAGGGTTGTCGAATCGCAAGACCTAAGCTGGAGTAAGTGATCTCCCGATGCCTGTAAGGTCGAATCCACCCAGCTGAAAACACAAAACCAAACACCCATACTTGCTGGGATTGAGGGCTTGAGGACCGGGATCCCTGTCTGGACCCTGCCGAAGGCAACTATTTTTGTACACGACAACAAGAACAGAGTCTGTAACCCTCAAGAGGCCACTTTTGAGCTACTGTCAACATCACCTTCAAGAAGACCCGATTCCCTCCATCAGGACCAGAAGAAGCCGCAGTAAGAGTAGCAGTAGTAGTAAGAGTAGCAGTAGTAGTAGTAGTAGTAGTACTAGTAGTAGTAGTAATTAGTGACGATGAACAAGGCCCCCAATCTCCCAAGCCCCGAACCCAACAGCCACGAAACCCCCCGACCTGCCTAAAACCGCTGAAACCCCGAAGCCCCTCCACCCCTCAAAACAAAAACGCTCAACCCCTAATGTAGGGGCCTCGATAATTAGAATATGGCTTTGGGGCCCATTCTACTATAAATCTAATAAGGAACCCCCCAAAACAGTATAGGTAATTATTTAGGCCCCTGTATTACACCCCGTAACCTGGCCCTCCCATCCAACAGCAGCCTACTGTAGTCTTGAGCCCTAAACCCTACGCCCGAGAGTGAACGTGAAGAAAGTCGAGGCCCTGACTGTGCCGAGCCAACTTTCCTGGCTAGGGTTGTCAGCCACCTGCGGGTTTCGCGTTTGAGGAGTTGGGTCCCAGAACAGAAATAGAACTCCGATCGAAGAAGTCACTTAAGAGCCTTGAACAAGTCATAGCGGCACGGTACAAACATGTCAACAACGCACAACTCCCAAAGCCCTGCGAAGCGAAACACACGTTAACAGGCTAACCCTATAAGAACGGGCACAATGCAAGGGTTCAGGGTATAATGATAACCCAAACAAAAACAAAGCTATAAATAACCTACACAGGAGCTCCTGTGTTCAACTTACATAATATAGGGGCCTTAATCATTAGAACAGGGTTTTGGGGCCCATCATACTATAAGTATGACAAGGAACCCCCCAAAATAGTATAGGTAATTATTCAGGCCCCTACATCA